GTGCGTAGGCGCATGAACAAATGTGAAATTGTTTTCACGTATAAAACGGTTCACAAACCTTTCTAGCATGCTAGCTTGCGTGTGCATTTTTTTGACATGTTCATACATCCGTGCTATTGGTGAGCGCGCACACTCGTGCAAGACCACAGCTTTGCTAGCAGAGCAAATCTTTAATTTTGAATTTTTTCTTCTTTTTCTGAAAATTGAACTATAAACGCCTCTCTTGAGGAGAAGGGAAGCCACACACATCATTTAAAAGTTGTAGTTGCCTTGCATATAGGCAGTGATTGTCTAATTTCTCCAGGCTATTGTTTTCTACCCATGTCGAGACTTTTACCGTCTATCTAAATTCAGACAATTGTTGCCTGCTCAAGCTCAAGTTGTTATTGCCTGCCCAAATTTATGTAGTTGTTGTTTACTTAAATTCAAGCAGTTATTGCCTTCCCTAAGTTCAGGCAATTTCATTATTTTTAGATTCTTGTTCTTATAAATAGAGTAATTAAGATCTATAATGATAAAATTTCGATCTTTCCTTGAAAGAGGTGTTGATTACGCAATCTTATTTATTCATATTTCATCTTCAACTTGATATTGCTGATATCAATAACATCAATAGTTTTGAGAAACTAGAACATTTTTGTCGATCGAGCCATTCTCAAAGTGGCGGATGAGACCATCATTGAAGAAGCCATTTTTCACCTTCTCCTCTTCCAAATTGAAGAACCGGAACAAAACCAACTACCACATTTTTTGAGGCCCTTAATATATATAATTCAAATCACTGCTTAAATTTCCTTAGCTGATGATTTTACACCCTTCCACCAACACAAATAAAAGCTGACCTTATCATCTAAAAACCTTTCAATTGCGCCACGTACAAATTTATCCTCAACTTTGTTTGCTATTGGTTGCCTCTGGTTCTTTATCTCCAATCATTTAGCTTCTATGATTGTAAATATCATAATTATATCTTGATGCTGTCGAAGTTTATTTAGAATATGTGAAACTATACAGACTGCCCAATCCTTGTGCATTTTCATCTCTAACACCAAAAGTTTGTTATTTATGCGTGGTGTCATAAGCTTATGTATGAGAGTGTGCAGTTCACTTTTAAAATAATAATGATTATGTTTTTTTTTTTTTTATGTGATGTTAAAAATTTGAGTGATATGCGTGTAAATATGATTCTTTAGATGTTAGATATGTGCATGCATAAGAATTGTGTGATATGTATATAAATGCCCCTTTTTCAGGTTATTTACCTGAAACCACCCAATTACTACGTATTTACATACCTAACACCTAAACTTTACTTTTAACATTTGCATTAAAAGATATCATTATTTAAGCTCTGTTGATATATATTGTTGATGTTAATGTTGCATTTTATATAATCAATGTCAACTAGTTGGCAATGCCAGCAAAACAATGAATTAATGAAGTTGCAACAACATTGGTTGAACCACTTTATTGTGAACTCTAAGAGTTGTTGAGCTTTTCTTATGCAATATTTCATGCTATATTTGTCATCCAATAAAAACTAGCACTTATTTCTTATAAATTTGGCCAGTTCTAAGAACAATGCAATGACATTCAACAACACAGAATATGACTCAACTGATTCTTAGTTCCAAAACAGAGATACACAAAAGCAACATAGAAAACCAACATAAGAAAAAGGGTCTTAAACCCTGGAGAACACCATGGACAAGTAGCAAAGTAGAACAATAATCTCAAGGATTATCTTCTTTGCTTGGAGGCTTATAGGCTATGAAATTGATGCATTGCTCTTGACGATCATTATTGAACGCGGTAATTCGAGCGATGGCATCCGGATATGCATTTTTCAACTCTTCCAGCTCTTTCAGCAGTTGTGTTGCGTCGGTGCATCCAAACATCGGCTGCTTCCACATCGTCCACCGCCCGTCATAATATCCTGGGGACTTATGCTGTTCCCTGTACACAAATTCAACCTATTCCACCCAATTCACGAGCACATTATTTGATTATTGGTGCATTTACTTACATACCGCCTATTTTCTAGATATTTACATTTCTAACAACCTAAACTTTGCTTTTTTAAAATTTATTTATTTATTGAAGTCTAGGTGTTAGATATGTAAATACATAAGAATTAGTGGTATGTAATTATTACTTGATTATGAATTTACACGTTTGACACCTAAACTATAATGTTTAAATATATAACACTCAAATCTTAACATCATATTAAGAATAATACTACTACTAACTTTGTTAAAGTAAAGTATACCTTTTTCTTGTATAAATTTTGTTGTGATTATAACACTGAATCATCAAACTTTACATTGTAGATATGTAAATAAGTGATAATTGATTGGTATTTATGTAAATTCTTTTTTTATTTATTTAAATATGGACATTTAAAATATGCATATATATATATATATATATGACAATTTTACAACAAGTGTTCGACACCTAAACTACTTTTTTCTGAAAATTTTATTGAGATTCATTCTTATAATCTGGGGGTCTGTCAAGCTGCAGGAAGCAGAAGATAAACATGTGATCCTACAATCATTTGAAATGTAATCTTTATGTTGTAAGTTTAAAAGCTTCTTCTAATTAGGATTAATTAGATTAATTTGGGTTTAAGTAGGGTTTAATGAAGAACTAATTTTATCTTAAAGTTTATAGGACAGAAGAAATATTGATGCAATACAAGTAATTTAACTATTATTAAATGAGCTATCCATCAAAGTGCAAATTTAGTTTTTTATTAAAGCGCATAAATAAATAATTAAGCCAATATTCTAATTTAATTTTATTTAATCATGGCTTATGAAATGAATTACCTGGCTGAATTCCAAGCAGGGAGTCAATTCGGAACGGAGAAGATGTTCAATCTGCTTTATCATTTCTTCAGAAGAAAGTTCAGCGAGGGAATCTACCGTCGCGGCAGCGGACGAGATCACCATCGAAGAAGCCATGCTTTAACCCTTCAATACTTCCTAATGCCCCTTAGATCCCTAATACCCTTCTAAATATTAATTGAAACCAGTGAGTAGATTTGATTAGGCGATGACGTATACACTTCAATCACCACATGTGAAGGCTGAACCTTGTCATCTAAGTGCCACACCGTTGTGCCACGTGGCATCTTATCTTCAACTTTATTGGTCTCTATTCTTACAGCTTCTATGGTTGGAAAGGGAGCAGTAAGAGAGTATGTTGGTGCCTTCAGAGTGTAGATATAATGTCTTATTATGTAAAATTAATTGCAATTTTTGTATTATTTTTGTAAATGTTAAATTGTTGATTATGAGATGTTTAGTGGGGGCCTTTGCATCCATCTTAATCTGTGATGCTGTCAGCCAGAAAATTCAGCATCTAATTAGGTGTTGTTAGTATTATGAATTTTTTCAGATTTAAAATTAAGGGATAATTACATAAAATATTGATATTTATAAATTAA